GCCTTTTCCCTAGCTACTCCATATCTCCATTTTTTTGGCACAGCCATAGTTCTGGTAGCGTAGTGTACCTAAGGCACTTGACTGACACTTCTAGGAAGGAAGATTGGGCAATCTACTTCTGTAGTGATGTTGTTTTGTTGTTGTTATGTGCCGTCGAGTCGGCCCCGACTCATAGCGACCCCTCCTTGGGTTTCCGAGGCAGTATCACTACGGAAGTAGGATTGCCCAACCTTCCTTCCGAGGAGTGGCTGGTGGGTTTGAACCGCCAGCCGTCTGGTTAGCAGGCAAGTGTCTTAGCCACTATGTAGTGATACCACCTCGGAAACCCAAGGAGGGGTCACTATGAGTCGGGGCTGACTCCACAGCACATAACAACAACAACAACAACAACAACAACATAGTTCTGCAGCCACATCTAGCCCACACAGGCCTGTGTTGGGGAAGTCCAGGCTGTCCTGGACAAATCTAGGGGTGCAGACAGTCTGTCTGGGGCTCTTCTTCCATCAAGCCTGGTGCACAGGTAAGAGCAATAAGTTGGCAGTCAGAAGAGACTTGGTTCAGACTCTGCTCTACTAGGGTCCTCCTGGGGACCTTAGGTGCATTGTCTCCTCTCTGAGCTTGAGGGTCATATCTGCAAGATAATGGGCTTGGCTATATGACCGTGAGATCAGAAGAACTAGATGGTGCCTGGCTACTATTGTCAACCATTCAGAGAGGGACTGGTGCAGGAGAAATGTGAAACAAAACTCAAAATCATTAAAAAAAAAAAAGACCAGGTTTGCTGCTCTGATAGAGCGTGGTGAGACCCTTGTGACTATGGCCCCTAGTTACCCTTCAGGTCTGGAACTGAACTCCTGTGGCTTCCAGCCAAACAAACTCAGGCATTTGGGGTAAACATTTACATCAGGTAGATACACTCCTTGGAGCGATCAATCATGGGAGAACAGAAGGGCAGTGTTTGCACAGGGAGATAGCTAGCGGGGCAGAAGTGCATGGGAGGGAAGAATACAGGGAAGAGGTAACCACGGGGAGGAAGTGGGAAGAGAGCTGTTACGTTGTGGGGAATTGTAGTCAATGTCATAAAACGAAATGTGTATGAAGTGCTGTACGGAAAATGAATTTGCTCTGCAAACTTCTACTCAAATCACAATAAAAATTACAAAAAAGAGAAAAGATAAGGGGCTTTGGCAGTGTATTTCCACCCTGGTCAGCCTAAAGACACCAATCATATGTCCACAGGGGTAGGCAATTATGGTGAGGGAGTGAAGCAGGCCAGTGGAGCATCAGAGAGTAGTGGGGACTGTGGCTAACTGGAGTGGCAGTGTCCCACCTGAAGGAGGGGCTGCTCCTCCGCTCCAGCTGATGGTTACCTTGTGGGAAAGGCAGTTTAGTCTCTTTCAAAGAGAAGCTAGATGTCAAGAGTTTTTAAATGCTGGTAATCTTAAAAAAAAAAAAAAAAAATTAAACTATATCTGCAGGCTACATGTGGATTGTGAGCTGCTGATTTCTGAGCTTTTTCCTTTAGTTGTGTCTGAATGCCCGAGTGTGAATTCTGATGCTAGCACTTCCTTCTTGTGTAAACTTTATTGAGTTAACCTCTCTGTGCCTCAGTTTCCTCATCAGTGAAATGGGAATTAAAAATAGTACCTACCTTATATGGTTTTAAGGTATAAAGGATAGTGCGCAACATAATACATGCTATTTCTTCTTATTATCATTATAGTTCTAACTAGATCCTGTTTCACATGAAGTCCCCATACTCTAGGTTCTAAGTTACTAACCCCCTGGAATTTCAGGCAACCACTTTTGGTTTCTAAGCCTCTATGTTTTTGGCTAAATAGCCCAGGTGGTGCAGCCCAGGTGGCTAGGTGCCCAGCTGCTAACCAAAAGGTTGGTGGTTTGAACCTACTGGCTGCTCCATGGGAGAAAGATGTGGCAGTCTGCTTCTATAAAGATTTACAGCCTTAGAAACCCTATGAGGTAGTTCTGTTGTCCAAAAGGGCTGCTCTGAATGGGAGTCAACTCAATGGCAATGAGTTTGGTTTGGTTTTTAATTGAAAGTATCCAAGTCTCCTTTTATGCTGTTCAGCTATAATTTAGAAACACAATGTTTTTTCCATTTGACATGTATACTACTTAACAACTTTGTCAAAGAAAACAAATGTGAGCAAATCTTACAAAAGTACCAACAGGTATGAACATGAACAGCTGTTCAAGAGGAATTATATGAATTCTGAGGAGCCCTGGTGGTGCAGTGGTTAAATGCTTGACTGCTAACTTAAGAGTCGGTGGTCCAAACCCACCAACTGCTCTGCAGCAAACGATGAGGTAGTCTGTTTCCATAAAGATTCACAGCCTTGGAAACCCTATGTTGTTGTTATGTGCCGTTGAGTCAGACCTGACTCATAGCGACCCCTCCTTGGGTTACTGAGGCAGTATCACTATGGAAGTAGATTGCCCCATCTTCCTTCCGAGGAGTGGCTGATGGGTTTGAACAGCCAGCCTCCTGGTTAGCAGTCAACTGCCTTAGACACTATGCTACCAGAGCTCCCTGGAAACCCTATAGGGCAGTTCAACTCTGTCCCATAGGGTTGCTCCATGGGATTGACTTAAAGGCATCAAGTGTTTTTGAGACATTCATTTGTGTGTGTATTCATTTGGGGAGGCTTGTAGGTTTCAGAGTCAGGTTTCAAACCCACCAGCTGGAAGTTGCTGGCCAGGTGTGGGTCTTCCGTGGTGCCACTGGGTGGGTTCGAACAGTGGGTATGTATTTTGCTGGCAGAGTTCAGCATCTTGCCCAAAAAGTTCTGAAATCTCTGCCCACCTTAGCATTGGCTTCCCAAAATTCTAGGAATCCCAAACATGGCTTCCCTCACATCTGGGCACAGTGACGGGAGGGGCTTAGGTGTGTGTCTGATTTCCCTACCTTCTGGGGCCTGAAACTCCACCCCTACAGACATATTCTTGGGGGCCAAAGCTTTGCTGCCTCCCGTCACTGTTCTAAATACACATGGGCTCCAGAATTGGATCATTCACACCTCCTTGGGGGATAGTTTGAGGCTGGCTTCTCCACTGCACTGTGTAGAACTGCTTTTCTTTTTTATTGAGTTGCTGAAATGGATTAGAGACCTATCTAGCTCCTATGGATCAAGTACCAACTATGAGCAAAGCACTTCCTTGTGAATATTATTACTAATCCTTGCCCCAACTCCCCTTGGCAGATATTTTAATTTCTGTTTTATAGTGAGGAGTCTGGGCTCAGAGTCTAAGTGATCACAGCTATTGGATTCAAGGCAGGCTAGTTCAAGTTCAAAAGCTACACCAGGGTGCCTCCCCATGACTGTTGGCTTTTAGCTCTGCTGGTGGACCCCAGCCTGCTATCAGAGTCCTGGGTTCTATGAACATGGAAGGGGCTTCTGTAGGAGGAATTGGTGTTATTTTAGGTCCACCAGTGTCCTGGCTGAGGCAACGCAAAGGACATATCCATGTGGATTCTGTCTCCCTGATCTTATAATAGCTCTGAGATGCCAATCAAAATAGAAATAAAAGTAATGTGTAACAATCATAGCTATCCTCCCATGTCTGCAGAGGGTATTAGAGCTCACAGTTCCTGCTGGCATCTTTTCTTCCATTAGTCCACTTGGCAGGAGCTCTGGTGGTGCAGTGGTTAAGGTATTTGGTTGTTAAGCAAAAGATTGGCTGTTCAAACCCACCAGCTGCTGTGCAGGAGAAAGATGAGGCAGTCTACTTCTGTAAAGATTTATAGCCTTGGAAACCCTATGAGGCAGTTCTTCTCTGTCCTATAGGTCGCTACAAGTCAGAATCAACTTGATGGCAGTGGGTTTTTGGTAATGCTCTTGGCAACCCTATCACGTAGTTGATATTTTTCTCATTGCACAGATGGGGAAACTGAGACTCACACAACTAGATAGAAGAGTGGGACTCCAGCCCCTGTACTCTGTTCTCAATGGCTTTTATTGGGGGGTCCACATGGTTAAATGCCGGGGGTTTGGGGTAAAGAGGATCAAGAGGTTTCTTCATCTGCTTATTGTAAAAACAAAATGTACAATATATTTTTAAGAAGATCAGGTGGGAGGCAGGTGCATGGACAACATGATCTTCCATGCATCCCATACCTGTTCTAAGGACATCTTGGGTTTTACTGTTTCTGCACAACCTTGCCCAGGGTGTCCTCTCCAATTGCTAAAATCCTATCTATCCATCAAGCCCCAAAGACCTTCCTTCCTTCAGGAAGTCGCCAACTATCCCCAGGGAGGCTGTTTCCTCCTTTCTCCGAGTGCCCTGATGGCATGTGGGGTTACTTCATCCCAAGTGCAGGCCTTGTCTGCCCAATTAAACTGTAAGCACCCACAAGGATGCAGCCAAGTAAGCTGTAGCACCAGGCTTAGGTGCTGCACACATAAGTGCTCCATTGCTTTGCATGAATGAGGAGATGAGAAGACATGTCAAGCCCCAGGAGAGAGAAGGGCAAAAAGTCAAGAAGGTAGCAAAGGACAAAAAAATCCTGTTCCCAAATGACCTTCCTATTTCCCATCCTGCCCACCACTTGACAGTGCTGGGCCCAGAAGCTGGGCAGTGCCAGGGTTGGTCAGTCCTGGGCAGAGTGGGGTGGCTGAGATAAGAAAGCTGGAGCCAGGGTGCATGCTTCCCCTGGGAGGAGACTGGCTGGTCCAGTCGGCCTGCCACCTGCTTGCCTTGGGGTCTCTCCTGCTCCCCTGGTGGCCCTGCCCCACCCTTCTGGGGAAGCCCTGGAGGCTCCTCCCTACAGCCTGGTATGGAGTTGGGCAGGACTCACATACACAGGAAGAAGCTGAGGCTGGGAGGTTAGCTGACATGCCCAGGACCTGCGGCTAGGCAGTAGCTGAGGGGTTTCTAGAACCTACATCTTTGGAGCCCCAGGCCAAGGTTCTTTCCAACTCTGGGGGCACCGGGAGTGGTGCTGACTCAGAGAGGTGACGGAGCTCTTTCTCTCCGAGCAGGTCTGGTGGCAGCCTTCAAGGTTGCCACACCGTATTCCCGGTACGTGTGCCCTGAGGGGCAGAACGTCACCCTCACTTGCAGGCTTTTGGGCCCTGTGACCAAGGGGCACGACGTGACCTTCTACAAGACATGGTACCGCAGCTCGAGGGGCGAGGTACAGGTCTGCTCGGAGCGTTGGCCCATCCGCAACCTCACCTTCCAGGACCTGCACCTGCACCATGGAGCCCACCAGACCGCCAACACCAGCCAGGACCTGGCCCACCGCCATGGGCTGGAGTCAGGTTCGGACCACCATGGCAACTTCTCCATCACCATGTACAAGCTGACGCCGCTGGACAGTGGCCTCTATTGCTGCCTGGTGGTGGAGGTCCGGCACCACCACTCAGAGCAGAGGGTCCATGGGGCCATGGAGCTGCAGGTGCAGACAGGTGAGGGCCTGTGGAGGTGGCCTGAAGGAGTGAGAATGACACTGTGGCTGTGTGACCATGGGGTGCAATTCGGATACATGGCAGTGTGACTTGAGGAGAGAGTGTTGTGTGGTGCCGTGATGTTGGCTGAGGCTGGGTGTCTGAAGGTGTGACTCTGTGTGACACCATGAAGGAAAGTGGTACTACTGGCACTCTGAGAAGTGCATGTGAGTGACAATGTGGGGGTAGGGTAGGTATGGTGTGTGGGGCTGTGTACAGGTCACTGGGGTTAATGAAGCTGTTTGTAACAATGGGACTTTTTGTTTTGAATAACAGACTTTATTTTTTTAAGGAAAGTTTTAAGTTTACAGAAAAATTGAGCAGAAAGTACAGAGTTCCCATCTGCAATGGAACTTTTTAACATGAGAGGGTGTATGTATGTATCTGGGCTGGAAGATCCTGCTCATGGCAACGCTATAGCAGTGGTGATTAAATGCAAAGTGTGACGGAGAGTATGAGTCGGTGAATGGCTGACTGTTGGTTGGGGAACATGTATATACATCTCTTCTGGTGAGGGCGTAAGGGGCGGTGGACTGGAGAGAGGTGTGGGCACCGGCAGGTATCCACATGCCTCTGGAGATGGCATGAGAATGGGCAGGGCCTGCTCAGTTGTGTGGAGAGGATATGCCAGTGTGTGTATGTTTGTGTGTGTTGGAATGTGACTATGCATATATGTGCGAGTGTGTGAGTGTACTGAATGTGTGTGTATATGTGTACATATATGTGTGTATGTATGTGTGTGTGAGAGTGTGAGTGTGTGTGTGCATGCTTGCATGTGTGTGCAGGTTCTACCTGGGCCACAGCTTGAGTGCCTGTGACAGGGGAGGGCATGTGATGGGGGTGGGTATGAAAGTTTTCCTGGCCCCCTGGCCTGACACCAACCCAATGACCCTTCTCTTTGTTCTCACAGGCAAAGAAGCACCATCAAAATGCATCGCATATCCACCGTCGCCCCAGGAGAGTGAAAGTAAGGGTCTGTCTTCTTGCCTTTTCTCCTTTCTCTGTTCTTTGTCCTCATCCTGGACCCACACCCTGTCTGAACTCAGACTCTATCATCCAAAACCCATAGAGCCCCCATTATTCCTCCTTTGCTGCCGCCCCCTTTTGCTTCCTCTTCCACCAGAGCCCTTGTGCCATGGCCCCCAGAAACCTACTCCCTTTCCAAGGCCCTCAGCTCCTAGAGGGGGAGAGGGCTGAGATCTTTCCCCAGGCAGTCCCTGCTCCTGACCCCCTGGGTGAGAGGCACCCTGGCAGTAGCCCTTGGCCAGGGGAAGTGCTTCTAGGACAGACACAGATGCCACAGTCTCCTGAGCTTGTTTTCAGTGAGCACTACCCTTGCCCACTAGCCCTCTGTGACCTGGGGAGGTTGGAGGGCTGGCAGGGAGGGTCCCTCTTGGTTTAGGACTCTGCCACTTAGAATTCTCTTGTTCTGTGTGTGGGGTGTAGAGAGGAGGGAGAGACTCAAGAAGGGGAACAGAACTACCTTTCCTGACCACCTACGTTGTGCCAGGCACTGTGCTAGGTCCATTTAAGTACTGTTATCTCAGTTAATTCTTACAAACCCTATGAAGTGGGCATTATCTTTACTTTACATACATTGAAACTAAGGCTTAGAGAGGTGACATGACTTGCTGACAGAGCCAGCAAGGACAGGCCCAGCTGAGACTGTACCCCAGGCCTACTTAGCTCTACTCACGTTTGTTACCTTCTTCCCACCTGTCACTGGGCTCAGGGAGGAAACTGGAAATGCAGTGGCAGTGAGTCCCCTAGTTTACCCAGAGGGGTTCCTCTAGGGGAAGAGAGTACTACTGGAAGGGCCCCTGGGCCCTCAGAGTCTGGTAAAAATGCCCAGCAGCCTGGAGATAGCAGGCAAGGGGGAGATGTTATAGGGATGCCCACCTTTCTGAGGGGTGAGGGTCTGGGCTTCCTCATCCTTCAACCCCTCCAGTATTTATGGATTTATGTGCACCAGCCCGTGCACAGGTCCTGCCCCCAGGAACATGTGCACAATGGCCTAAACCAGGAACAGGAACAGCTACCCTGCAGCTCCCACACCAGCCAGACCCAACCCAAAGGCCATAGAGACTTTTACTCAAACTACCCTTTTTTCCAAATGAACAAATAGACTAGCCAGGAGTGAAATTAGAACACACATTTCCATCTGAGCCAGACTCGCAGGGAACCAAGAAACTCTTGGCTCAAGCTCTCCCAGCACACGGCAGAGTTCACGTGTCCCCGCAGCACCAAACCACTGCCCTCACTTCCTCCACAAGGCCTCCCTGGTGCTGGCAGAGAAAGGCCCTCCAAACGGGTCTCTTCCTTCCCGCACAGCAGTCCCCAGGATTGTGTGTGCATGCACACGCAGGGCTGTGCACAGGGCAGGGTGACTCACACGTGGCCAGGCATACGTGTGCTCATTTCCCCATTGCTGCTTCTGCTCTGAGCAATTCCCCAGTCCTACTTCTTCCTCCATAAACTCTCTCTGCAGAGCTGCAAAGCCCATAGAGACAGCACCTCTGCCACCTCTCCCACTTCACAGATGGCCAAACTAGGGTCCAGGCAGGTGAAGTGACTTGCTCTCTGTCTCTCAGATCCACAGTTAAAAGGAGATGGCAGAGGGCCAGACTCTTAGTTTGCAAACCCTGCCTGAGCACTGGGCTGCCTTCACCTCTGTCAACTCAGACTTTCTGAAAATTCACTGTAGGAGTTAAGTCTCCAGAGGACAGAGAAAGAGATGCCAGAGTAGATAATGCTAGAGATACCAGGTGCAAATGGAATGTGAGGGGGGGGGAGGAGAGAGGGAGGGAGGGAGGGAGGGAAGGAGGGGGAGAGGGAGAAGGAGAAGGAGAAGGAGAAGGAAAGAGATTTGGTTAATTTTTCTTTTTGTTCACTTTATTTATTTACTTAATTTCTGTAGTGTTTCCTCCCCTCCTTTCCCATCCTTGGTAACCAACAAAGAAAGTTTCCTTCCACATGTAAACCTTTCCTTGACTTTTTACAAATGAACTAATACAATTATTTGTCCTTCTGTGATTGACTTATTTTGCTCAGCATTATGTCCTCCATGTTGACTCACGTTATACGGTGTTTTGCAGTTTCTACATTATTCTTTTGGTTAATTTTTCTTGATCTAGACTCTAGAGAAGCAGCTGCTGGAATTAAGGGAAAAGAAACCACCTGGGGAATCCCAGGGATCAGACTGATAAACACCCTGGGGGTGAGGCAGAAACCTTGAACTTGACTGTCAAGCTTCCTTTGCTAAGCACTTCTACTTTCAGTTTTTGACTATTTCATTCCACTCATTCCACTCCTATTCATGAGGGGTGGTGGTGGGGTGTAAAACCGCCCCCTGGCTCCACTTCCCTGAGGTGGTGTTGCCCCCAGCGAATCAGCTCTTAGAAGGATAAAGGGATATGTTTACTTCTGTCCCAGCTGTTGAGGGCAGGAGGATGGCTTTGATGACCTCTGGAGTCCTTTTCCAAACTCTTGGTCCTGGGAACCTGAGTCTGGAAATTATAGCGGTCCCGGCACTGAGGCTGGCATGGTCCCAGATGGAAAGAAACCTGCTGTACTTCTGGGTTGGGTGGGGAGTGGGGCTTTAGGACAGCATTTCTACCCTGTGGGTCCTGTTTCCCCACTGGGAAATGGGAACAAGTGTGTCCCCTTTTTTCTACCAGGTAGGCAATCAGTATTATCTAAGAGGCTGGATCAGGAATCAAACACTCAAATGATCTTGGGTCAGGGAGCTGGTGAGTAAACGGTAGGGAGGGGTGGAGACTGCAGCCAGTTTGGAAGGGCAGCTCCAACTGCTGCTAGTCCAGATGGAGGCCCAGGTTGCTAGTTTTCAAACAAAGCCAGAAAATAGCTTTTATGTGTGAACTCTCTCAATTTAAAAATGTTGGCAACTAAAAGCAAACAAACAACAACAAAAAAAGAAATACCTAAAAAACTAGATACTGTTTGGGCCATGTTTGCAACCTGAGTCCATTCTAGTGAAAGGCAGTGTGGTGAAGTGGTTAAGAGTACAGACCCTGAAATCAGTCAAGTTACCTTTCTGTGCCTTGGTTTTCCCATCTGCACAATGGAAATGATGATTACCTACTTCCCAGGGCTAGAATGATGATTACCTACTTCCCAGGGCTAGAATGTTATATGTAAAGTAGGAGCCCTGGTGGTGTAACAGTTAAGTGCTTGGCTGCTAACAGAAAGGCTGGTGCTTTGAACGCAACCTCGGTTCCATGGGAGAAAGACCTGGCAATCTGGATTATAGCCTAGAAAATCCTATGGGGCAGTTCTACTGTGTCCCATGATGTTGTTATGAGTCAAAATTACTTGATGACACCTAATAACAACAACAATATACGAAGTGCTCAGAACCATGCCTGTGTCAGTGTTGGCTAATAATATTTCTAAATGCAGAATTCTAGCTTGGCTTCCCAAGGCAGCTCATCCACAACCCTGTGCCAAGGCAGGGTGGCAGGCAGAGGGCAGCAGACAGTGGATACTTGTCCCGTTTTCTAACAGCTTTAGAAACATTTGCGTGGTAGCCCATGTAAGTGCTTAGTGGGCCCTGGGGCCTGTAGCTGGGTACCATCTCCGTTGCCCCTTACCTTTGGGAAGACCCCAATCCCTGCTTGTTCTCCTCAGCCAGCTTTTTTGTACCTGATCAGCTAAGCTCTTTGTGTTTCTTTCTCTAACTTCCGCCCGTGTCTAATGTGGGAGGATAGCTGGTCTATGGAATAATCCTAAAACCCAAGTTTGCCTGAGGGTGGGGGCAGATGGGATGAGGAGCCGACGGAGACTGGGGAAGGTGGTGCCCAAGCAGCTCTCCTATTGCCAAGGGGCTGTGGTGTTGGTTTGAGTCCAGGGGAAGGGGCCCAGCAGCCTATCTCCCCATGAGCACCCCGGCACCACCACTACCACAGCAGGATGTATGGTCTGCTTTGATCCAGCCCCTCCCTGGAGACCCAGGCAGCTCAAACCTCCTCTGCATATACCCTGGGGGCATCTGGCAGCCCATGGACAAAGGCCTACTGAACAGGCTGGATCCCTCCCCATCTTACCCTGACAGGGATCTGGCACACTCCTTGGAGCTGGCTGGCCAGCTCCTTCTGCCAGCACCTGATCACCTTCCCAGCACGAGCCTGGTTCAGGATGGCCACCCACTAAACAGTCTGCTCCCCAGGGTAGGAGCTCAGGCATTAGCCACACAGGGGTAGGGATGGGTGGGGGGGATGCTGCAGAGGAGCCCATGGCTTCAGAAGAGCTGGCCCCAAACCCCTGTCTCAGGTTGTAAAGAAATCTCAGGCTCTCCAAGTGAAGCCAAGTCCAGATCTGTAGTGTGGCAGGGAGGGAAGGAGCTGGGGCTGAGCCCCTCAAAGTGCCAAAGCAGAGTGGGTGGGATTAGTGAGCACCTGACAAACCTCACCAAAGGTCGCTTAGTAACAGCCTGGAGGAGACCTGCTTTGATGACTAGCAAAGAACACTTGGCAACCCGGCTGCTCAGATATTGTCCACAGTAAGGGCCTTTGATGCGGTTTAGAAATTTGAAATGTCTGAATTGTGGAATGTTTTGTACTTTCAATCTTTCATGTCAAAATGCAGCTAGATCTGCAGGAACCGGCTGTAAAGTGGAGACATGTTTGCTTTGTAATTAGCCCAGCAACTGATCGTGTACCAGTGGAGACTTCTAAAGGGTCTGAAAACAGTTTGTTCACTTCTGCAGTAGGTGTGAATGAACCCCCTGAATGCTTGTTTACACCAGCAAGTGGTATAGCAGCACAAAGCAATAAAAACAGCCTTTATTCCCCCATAAATAGTGCAAAGGCAGCATTGAGACTGTGTCCTTTCCAACTTCCCAAAGCTCACCGAGGAGAGGTTGACATGGTGACAAGGTATTCTGGCCCATTTTTGGCTGAGGGAAGGGCTAAAATTGGGAAGGAAATGGGTTTACACTGGTTGTGGTTCCATAGGCATGGCTGTTCCCAGCTAAACTGCCGGAGTCAGCAGATGGACTAAAATAAATCAAGCCTCCCAAGCTGCTGGGGAGATGAGGAAGTGGTATAACCTTTTTTTGGAGGGCAATTTAGCAATCATCTAAAAGAAAATGCACATACTCTTTGGCTCAGGACTTGTACTACTAGGCATTTATATATAGGTGTACCTGCCTGGAAGTACCTGGGTGGTCGTAATGCATTTGCTGCTAACTGAAAGGTTAGAGGTTCAAGTCCACTCAGTGGCACCTTGGAAGGGAAGCCTGGTGATCGACTTCTGAAAAATCAGCCATTGAAAACCCTATGGAGCACAGTTCTACTTTGACACACATGAGGTCACCATGAATTGGAACTGACTTGATGGCCACTAATTTTTGTTTTGGTACCTGCTTGAGAGAGCCAAGATGCATGCATGGTGCTCACCATTAAGTTATTAGTTATGTTGAGAAATGGAAGCAACATAAACATTTATAAATATAGGACTGTTTCAGTCAATTTGGGGTTGGCCATATGATAAAGACAGGCAGAATGAGGTTGATCTCAATGTGGCTATGGGGAGGCCCCCACTGTGCTAAGTGGGTAAAGCATTTGTCATGTGAGCCCATATGCACTGTATATGCATGGACTATGTCTAGATGGATACACAAGAAATTGCTAACAATGAGTATTTCTTTGGAGGGAGGCTCAGTGGAGAGTGGAGGAAGAGACTTGCAGACATTTTTTAAACAAGTCCTTTTCGTTTTGTAATTTAAAAAGTTTAAAATTTAAAAATGTTGGGCAAGGATCTTGCATTTGATTTTTCCTGTGGTTTGTGTGTGTGAGGTCAAGAGTGGGGCTTCCAGCAGTCTCACCTCGGTGGGCTGGGGCTCCTTTTGACCTTGAACTCTGTGCATGGGGTTTATAAAGGGCCTGCTGCTCCTTTTTAGGGAACAACTCAAAGCCCAGGGGAGTTGTCAAGCTGCCCCTTGTGGGGCAGAATGAGGGCTTGGTTTTCTCTTCTCTGGAGGAGCCTCAGCTGTAAGCACCCCATTTCTGTATGCTCTGGGCCCACTTGGGGAGGAGGTAGGGGTTGTCTCTAAGAGTTCCCCAGACTTTCCCTGCTTCTCACTAGAGGCACCAGTCCTTCTGCGGGACAGTGAGGGTCTGGCTGAAGGCCTTAGGTAAAGCCGGGTCCCTGCTGCTGCCCACCTTCCTTCTCTGGGCTTCAGTTTTCCCTCAGGTAGGAATGGAGCCCTCACTTTGGTTGCCTCTGCCTTTCCAGATATAACAGCCGCAGCCCTGGCTACAGGCGCCTGCATCGTGGGCATCCTTTGCCTCCCCCTCATCCTGCTCCTGGTCTACAAGCAAAGGCAAGCGGCCTCCAACCGCCGTGAGTATCCCTGCCCTGCCCCAGGTCAGCCCCTGGGATTAGCAAAAGCCTGAAGCAGGCATAAAGCCCTCTCCGTTCCAGAGATGGGAGCTGCCGCAGTCCCTGCAAGGAGCTGGGCTCAGTGAGTGAGTGAGTGAGCAAGGGACCCAGATGTGCCATATCTGGGGCCTGAGCACCCAGCAGCCCCTGTGGCTCCCAGGCAGTGCTGGATTAGCACTCAAGAAATACCTGTTGAATGAATGAATAAGAATATGGAGTAGTTCAGATTGGTTTATAAAGATGCTGCTTCTCCAAGATCCTTTGGGGACCTGCTTTAATGTGAGTGGACTTGTTTTATCATCAACATAGTAAACATCAAGACAGAAATGACCTCTGGAGTATCAGAGCCAGGAAGGAGCTTAGAGATAACTTAAGTTCAGTGCTTCCCTTTTACAGAATAGAAACCTAACATCAGTGAGGTTGAATAAACAATCAATTGTTATATAACTTAGCAAGCAGCAGGGCTGGCACTTAAACACAGTTTTCAAACCACACTCTTCCCAGAGAATATAATCCCAACATTTAATGAAAATATTCATCAACATGATCATCATAAAGAGCCCTGGTGGTGCAATGGTTAAGCACTTGGTTGCTAACCAAAAGTTTGGTGGTTCAAACCCACCCAGCAGCTCTGTGGGAAAAAGACCTAGCGATCTGCTCCAGTAAAGATTACAGCCTAGAAAATCCTTTGGGTCATTTCTACCCTATCATATGGTATTGCTATGAGTTGAAATCGACTCGACAGCACCTAACAACTACATGATCATCACAGCCAGCAACCCCTAATTGATGGGGTTGCTTGCCAGACTTGTTACATACATTGTCTTGCTTATTCCACATAACAACTCTTAAGAGTTTGGTACTACTAAAACAAAACAAAACTCACTGCTGTCAAGTCAGATCTGACTCATAGCGACCCCTCCTTGGGCTTCCGAGGCGGTATCTCTATGGAAGTAGATTGTCCAATCTTCCTTCTGAGGAGTGGCTAGTGGGTTTGAACCACCAGCCTTCTGGTTAGCCTTAGGCATTATGCTACCAGAGCTACTGTCCCTGTTTTACAGATGAGCAAACTGAGGCACAGAGAAGTTAACTAACTTGCCTAAGGAAATGCACATTGAATAAGTGGTGGGGCCAGGCTTCAAGTCACAAACATCTTTCACTCTTGCCCTATCTCTGACCTCCCCTGTGAAGGCTCTGGGAGCAAGAGGGAAGGGAGTCCTCTATCTTTGGACATCGCAGGCCCTATCTGGCCTGTTCTCCTCAGCCTAGCTGCAGAAGATAACTGTGGGAGGCTGCTCTGTCACCATGTGGCTTGTGGCTCATATCTGATTTCCTTTGGCTCTCTCCTGGGGGCTCAAACTGGAGGCCTGCAGTGGGGTATTCAGGGATCATGGCTACCACACTCTCACTCTCAGGAACCTATATTCCCCTCAAAACCCCACCACAGCCTACCTACGGGGCAGATGGAGGTTGGAGTAGATAAAAGGATTGGAACAGAAAGAAGATCCCAGGGTTTCGGAAGGGAGAGAAATGGTGCCACAGAGAAATGGCATCAGCAGTTCCTGCTATAACATTTCCACGGAGAAGGGGAAGGGTGAGGAGGGGGACTACGCTCAGCTAGGCACATCGCTTTCCAGATAAAGAGGTACTTTCTGGCCCCTTACTCCAGACCACAAGTTTGCCTCTGCCATGTAAGCAGAACAGGGAACAGGAACTGGAAAACAAACAAAGTCGAGGGGAAGATGGTGTGTGGGGAGGAGGGGAGCTGCCTTTGTTGCCTCCCAGCCCTCCTCCCAAGGTTGCCAAAGTGGGCCCAAGGCTCTCCCCGTGTTTCAGCTGTGGCTTCTCTGGGGTGTGGGAGGGACAGAGGCAGAAGGATACCAAATTTTCTCCTCAGGGGAAGCTGCTGGTGGCCAAGGGAAGAAGCTCAGAGAGGGGCAGCTGTAGGCCACATACTGTGGGAGTGTCCAGAGGACACAGGGAGCCTGTGGGCAGCTCTCAGTCCCCCTACTCCACTCTCTGTGACACCCTGGTCCAAGTGCTGATTCCTAGGGGCCTCCCAGGAGGGTCCTTATACGTCCCAGGAAAAACAGGGGTCTGAGGGATGCTGATGAACTGGGCTGAAAGAGGAGTACCATGGTCAGGGATGGAAGCACTGTGACCTGTGTTGAGCACATCTTCCAAAACTCTGCATGACCCCCTTTCTGTGCTGGGCAGCCATTCAATAGCACCTTCACTAGATTTAATATCTGCAGTAACAGAAAGGTGGCAATGATTACTTTTTAATAAAATTATTTTTGAGGCAAAAAAAAAAAAAAAGAGAAAGAGAAAAAGAGAGGCTGTGAGCCCTCGAGAGAGCAGTGTGATGACATGGAGGCCACGGGATATGGATTCTTACCCAGCTTTAGACGGAGATTTAATTTCCTTGGCTCTACGATGGGACCGACACACCTTACCCCAAAGAGTGGTGGAGAGGATGGAATGAGGGATGTATACAAAGCACCCGCATGAAGTCTGACACGTAGGAGCCTCCCAGTAAGCAGCAGCTATGATTTGAGATTTAGGGAACCTTTGTGTAACTTCCTCATGTGTGTTCCTGCTGTGCCCCTCCTCCATTATGTTACCCCATAGTCATCGGGCAGTAAGGCCCTTTCACACAAGAAGGATCTGTGAGAGATAATGGGGAGCTACAAGAAAGATAGAAGCTGGGACCACTGTACCCTAGGTGGTGGCCAGTTTGGGAGTGGGGAACCCCAAGAATTGGACAAAGTAGCAGCAACTTGGATGAGGAGCAGAAAGCAGGTAGAATGACCGAGAAATGATGAAGTATGCAGAGACGCTAAGGTTCCCCTAAGAAATGTCACACCCTGTACTTCTAAAGCCACCCTATTGGGCAACAAGAAAAAGGGACAGAGGACCAGGAACCCCCTAATTAAAAACTGACTTTGCAACACTCCCATCACGTAAATCATGGCTAAAGACCAGAACATGGCAAGTGGCCAGCAGGAAATAAGAGCAAATCCAGGAGCTGGGTCCCACCCGTCTGCTTCAATCTGCTTCAGTCCCACCAGTCGAGCTATAGGAGGAAGCGCTGGCTCACTACCTTTGGGTTCCTTGTGGCAAATGTGCTCCTGAACACTAGTGAAACACAGACTTTCATTTGTCAGTGGCCAAAACAGGCCGCCCTCCCAGGCCCCATCTGCTGGATAAACACAGAGCACTGAGCACTGCGGTCAGGTCTCGGGTGAATAGAACTGAGGCCTGAGTGCAGCGCTGCCTGGGTTCACTCCTGTTCTTTGGGGGCATCTGCTAGCAGCGATGGGGATGTTGTCGGGGAAGACTTCCCTTCTGAGACGGGATCCTCTATCTGTCTGTTTCTAGGTGCCCAGGAGCTAGTGCGGATGGACAGGTAAGGCCCATGGAGACCCTCTGGAGAAAGCTTTGTGCAGTCACCCCCCACCCCCCCGCCTTGAGTCACAGCTTGGCAAGGTCTTTCTCCTCTTGCCTCTTCCAGTGGCTCTGTAGGGCAAGGTCTACACCCAGGCTGCAGCTGGAGCTCCTGATGGAGGAGGAGGGTAACCTTTGGCCATGACCGACTTACTGTTCCTCCACCCTCCCCACCAGGATCCTTCCCTGTCTTCTCCCTTGTAACTAGTTGCATCATGAAAGGGCTCAGGGCACAGACACTAGGAGTGGGACAATTTCTCTGGCCTTCCCTGTGCCTGGTCCCTCTGTCAGGGGGCAGATATTTCTGGGCAGTAGAGAGCATCTGTATTTAACTGTCTACCCACAGCTGATCAGGAGAGCACCTGCCATCTGCCCCTGAAGCCTAAACACCTGTGCTGGGCTGGGTATTCTCCCTGCCACTACTTCAAAGGGCCATGACAGGCTGTGGTCAATTCAGATGGCTGCTCTGCTTCCCTCAGCACTGCCCTTGAGCCTGGTTATGGTCGGGGAGGATGAGGAAGCAGCCGGGCTGAGCAGATATTGAAAACAGAGCATGCAAAGGAGACCCAGGCCAACCCAGCCACACACCTGGAATGGTGGCTTCTCCCAGCAGGGCCCTCCATGGAGAAGCCACCAGGCCCTGCAGGACAAGGGCAGAGGCTAAACGGGTCCAGAGTGGTGTAGCAGCTCAGAGTACAGTGGATGGGGCAGGGGGTAAGGCGTTCCTGCATTCTGGACACAAGGCTGGCATGGGGCCTAGAGTGGAGGGCGTGCTCAGGGAATGAGCCCCACTCAGGAACTCAGCCCTGGCACTTGCAATACCAAATCCAGAGCTTCCTCTAGGTGTTTGAGAGGGTCAGGTCAAAGGTCAAAGGAAGTCCTGCTAGCAATCCTGCTAGAATCTCAGAGATGGAGGAGGCTTCTGAGGTTGTCCCACGGACATCCCCTCCCTCAGCTCAAGACAAGCTTTGGGGACATTATGTCATTAGCTCTGCTGACCACAGGGAAACCAAAGTCCTGAGGCTGGTGTCCTGGATGTGCCACTGGCTCTAGGCTTGCCAACTGGGCCCAGGGCTGATGGTCAGACCACAGGACAGGGCTGTGGTCATTTCAGATGGCTGCCCTGCCTCCCTCAACTCAAGGTGGGTGGCAGAGCACAGCCCATAGTCTTTTCTCTCTGTCTCTCCTTGTGCGGATAGGCTGCTGTGGCCTGTGGTTGGGAAATCAGGTGAGGGGAAGGGAGCGGAGAGAAGTGGGTTGAGCTGGGGGAGGCGGGGAGGGCAGAGGCTATACCCAAGACAGCACGAATGACCTTCAATTCTGATTCTCTAGCAGCAACACTCAAGGAATTGAAAACCCCGGCTTTGAGACCTCCCCACCTGCTCAGGGGATGCCGGAGGCCAAGCCCAGGCAACCCCTGTCCTATGTGGCACAGCGGCAGGCTTCTGAGTCGGGGCGGCATCTGCTTTCTGAGCCCAACACACCTCTGTCTCCTCCGGGGCCTGGGGACGTCTTCTTCCCATCCCTAGGTGAGTGCTTCCCAACCTTTACTGCACCGTGACTTTGGGCCCCCTATGGCCTACTGGTGGTGAGTTGTGGTGCTGGCGAAGAATGCTGAAAGTACCATGGACTGCTAAAAGAACTAACAGATCTGTCCTGGAGGAAGTGCAGGCAGAATGCTCCTTGGAAGCAAGAATGGCCAGACTTCGTCTCACCTATTTTGGTCATGTTGTAAGGAGGGACCATTCCCTGGAGAAGGATGTCATGTTTGGTAGGGTGGAGGGTCGACGAAAGAGGGGGGAGGCCTTCAGGGAGATGGATTGATACAGTGGCTGCGATGATGGGCTCAAGTATAGCAGAGATTGTGGGGCTGGCGCGGGATCGGGCAGTGTTTTGTTCTGCTGTGCATGAGGTCGCTATGAGTTGGAAACAACTCGATGGCACTTAACAACAACAACAACAACATGGCCTACTGGTGAGCCTGCGTGTGGGGTATCAGCTCCTCCTGATATGGGGAGAAAAGCAAGGACTTCAGAGTCAGCCTGTCTTTGATACAAATACCTCCTGGCCCACTTACTAGCTCTGGGCTTTGGGCAAGTGACTTAACCTCTCATTTTCCTCATCTGTAAAGTGGTGATCATAGCTCATATCTCACTTTGGTGTTGTGAGGATTAGCTTACAGATCACAATTGTGCCTCAAACATTGGCATAAAGTCGGTGCCTGAGATATGTGACTATTGTTTTCGGCAAGGATTCCCCCCTGTGTCTCCCCCTTGCTTTGAGTTCTGATAATCTTTAATCATTTTAGATCTTTATCAATAAGCAGGAGCCACTATAGAAACCTCCTTAGAGAACAGTATCACTTAAGAGCAACACACACACACACGCACACACACACACACATGAAAAGTTTAGCAATGATAATAATGACAGTCATGGTACCTAACATTTATTGCATGCTTACTATGTGTCAGAGTGAGTGGTGCAAATGGTTGATGTGCTCAGCCACTAACCAGAAGAGTGGAGGTTTGAGCCCACCCAGAGGTCCTATGGAAGAAAGCCCTGGCAATTAACTTAAAAAAAAAAATCAGCCATTGAAAACCCCATGGAGCACAGTTTACTCGGACACACGTAGGATCACCATGAGCCGGGGTTAACTCCACAGCAACTGGTTTTATTATGTGCCAGGTCATGTGCCAGGCTGTGAGAGCCTCATGGTTTGGGGTTAGAGGGTGAGGTACAGAGGACGCCCCATTCACTCAGCTGCTTCTTTCTTTCGCAGATCCTGTCCCTGACTCCCCAAACTTTGAGACCGTCTAGACCTGCCGGGGTCAGTGGGTAGTTGTGGCTGAGCCTGGGGCAAGTGTATTTGAACCAGGGCCGGTCCTCTGAGTGGCCTCTTTGGCCTTGGCTCTGGTTTTCTCCCTATTGCTCTGAGCCCAGACCCTCAACTCCTCTGGATGCTACATGGACGAAGAGAGAAAATGCTGGATCACTCAGCCCTGTTCCATGGATGCTGGGATGCTGAGATGCCACTCCAGGGACCTGAAATTCACCAGCAACAGATGCCAAATGATCTACATCCTAAGAGGCCCTAGAATTTCCAGCCCTGCTTCAGCCTCTCTCTCCAGGATATGAGCCTTGGGACGTGGCAGCATCAATGGGACAAGATGGGTGCCAGGCAGACCCCCCTGCCACCCTTCCTAAGCATAAGACACAGGACAGGCTGTGGAGAGACCCCTCCCTGCTGTGGTCTACCTAGCTCCTTGATTGGCCTGAAGCTGCTTATCTGGGAGACTCGCCTTTGGCACCCATGGGGACTCAGGGGGTGGACTGGCCTGCCCGCTGTTGGAGCCCTCCCCGTGCTTTCTACCAGCAACCTCTCTGAGGCGCTGTCAGCAGGTTAAGCAAATCCAGGGCTCCCATTGCCTAGCCCCCAGACAGTGTAGGATTACCCAATAAGCTAGGTAAGCACAGGCTTACTTGTGCTTACTTACTAATCTGTAGTGAATAATCTCACATTATTTTCACCACATCAAAGATTCTGCTTCTAGGTATGGTTGGCATCTGTCTTTCCCAACCCCATAGCACCATGCTATAGAATCAAAGCCTTTTTTCAAATTTATAATCCCTGACAGGGACAGAGTACCCAGTAAGCAAGGTAAGCATAGACTTACTTGTGCTTACTTACTAGTTGTTCACTACAGATTAATAAGTAAGCTCAAATAAGTCTGTGCTTTCCTTTCTTATTGTGCAATCTGTCCCTGTCTCCAGACTTCAGTGGCCAGAGGTCTTAAAACGAGACATACACACTGGGCCACTGGTGCCACTGAGAACCAACTGGCGTCTTGGGCAATGTGAGGCCAGAGTTGCACCCTCCACTGCAGATGAGGTGGAGAGGGAGAGTGGTTGGGGCCTGCTGGAAAGGTGAGAGGAGAGATGTTACATCTGCCACCCTCACTTCCTTCCCCCACCAGTCAGCAGTCTATAGAAAGGTGACCACATGATGCATTGTCCAAACCGAGACAGTTTTGAGTGTGAAAAGGGGGTGCTAGAACTACACCAGGGCAACAGGTACAAATGGGGATATATGGTTTCCTGATCAATGGATTGTAAGAAGGATAGGTTTAAATCCCACTGTGCTACTGAAGTGCCTTTAGCCTGGGAAACCTCCTGGCCTCCTTCCCCAGCCTGGGTCTTCCGTTTCATACAACCTGTGCTGAGTCTTCCCCTCTGAGAGGCCTGGTGGGCTGGGAGCAGGAGCCACCAGGACCATGTACATAGAAGGGTTGGTTCTGCTCTGGACTTTCTGCTCCTATCTCTGCTTCAGGCATGACCTGGATCTGTTTTTATACTGTGTGCAAGGGGAGCCCTTTGTGGAATTGCAATTAAAGGATTTTAAAGCACAGGAGAGAAGGGTGTCTCTGCACTCTGGGGTAGAAACAGGGAAGGTGGTGCCCAAGATGAGGGGGCAAGTCTGAATTGGGCACATCTCCCTCCAGCAGGGCAGGAGACCCTGAGACCACTGGACGGGCAGTTTCTTTTGGGCCTTTGTCTCCCAGCATGCTTTGCTGGCTCTGCGGAGCTGGGCCTGGGAGCAGAGAACCAGGATGTGGTGCTCAGCAGGCAGGGAGAAGTCCACCCAATTACCTCCAGAAAAAAATGGGAGCTCTAGGTTCTGGGGCAGCGGTGAGCCACCTGGCCTGGGCACTGGAGCCAGGGAGCCTTGCCAGGACATATGGCCCTGCTTCCTAGCCCACTTGTCAGGCCCAAGGGCATGGGCCAGTCTGGATGCCCCGGCTATGCCTGGGGCTGTGCTTGGGGCCAGGAAGCCTTGGGGAGAATGTGAGCCAAGGCCTTTGATGGAACTGATAAGTCACCAGAATACCAAAACCCTGGGTCCTGCCTTGTCCCTGGGGGTCCCTTGTTCTACCCCATCTGCTGCCATGGATGCTCAGTGCCAGTTGCCACAGAAAGAGGGGGAAGTTCTCCTTGTTCTTGGGGGCCCATGGGGCAGGGATGGGCAGGATGGCACCTGCTTCTTGGTGGGCTGGGCTGTCCTTGGGGTCAAAGGACAAGCCAACAGAGCAGACTGCCTGTTTCCCAGTGCAGAGAAATTTCTCCCAGCCCTTCCGGGAGCATGGCCTGACACCAGCCCTCAGCTTCTGACCTTATGGCAAAGACGACTTCTAAGAATGTGGCTGCCAGACTGCAGGCCTGGCTGCTGCTGCACAGTGAGAGGGAGGAAACCCAAGAACAGCTACCACATTTCCTCCTGAGCTTCCTCTTGGCCTCACACACTGCTCTTCTCTGGACCCCTACTAGTAAAGGCTGCTCAATTTCGTGGTTTCCTGTTTTTAGTGACATTTACTCTGTGCTTTGGGCTCTGTCCTCATCCATCCCTACAGGCCCTGCCTTCAGCGTCTATCCTAGGGCCCTTCCTGGTGCTGCTAGGGCAGGCGAGGGTGCTGGAGCAGGAGTGGAAACACCTCTGGGGACACCAACCCTGGTGGCTGTTCCTATACAGCTCAGCTCAGCACCTGTGGCTGGAGCATATGGAGTGGGAGCCTCGAACAAGTTTGCAGGGTGGGGCTCAGGGACTGCTGGATTTATGGCACTATCTGAGGCCCTGGGAGGGAAATCTGTGCTGTTGGGAACTAATTCATTGTTAGGAGATAGATCAGGAATTGTTAGTTTCAGAGTAGATTCTGATCATGGCAACCCTATGCATTCCAGAATAGAACTGCTCCTTAGGGTTCTACTGGCTGTAATCCTAATGGAAGCAGATCACCAGGCCTTTCTTTCACAGAGGTGGTTCAAACTGCCAACCTTTAAATTGTTGGGGGAGGGGGAGGTGAGAGAGGGAGTCTTGTAGAGATTCTGTCCCTACCCCTTTTCTTGGGCATTCGCTTGGACACTGTTGCTATGCTGGGCGTGAGGCTGCCCTGTGTAAGAGGCCTTCCTGGGTCTCAGCTGGAGAACTCCGAGCCTGGCCTATCTGTGCTGGGGGCTGGGGTCAGATTTGCTCAGGGAACCGCAATAGGCAGAAAGAGGAACTGGGGTTGCCAGCCAGATGCTGGGTGCACAGGCCTCTTGAAATACACACACAACCCAGCTGAGTGTCTGTAGGATCTCCTACCCACAGAGATCACTGATTGCCGGGCTCATTCACTGGGCAGTCACTACTCTGCATTGTTGCTTCTCTCTCCCGCATGGATGCTTTGTTTCCCCAACTCCTCTGTGAGCTCCCGGAGGGCTCACAGAGGTCCCTAACTCCCTACCCTAATTAGGTCCATCCCTATTCATGGACCTAATTGCAAAGCTGGTCACTGATACATAGTAACTAGATGATGGGCTGAATTAAGATGCCAGGGTTCTATTGTCTGGACCATTCACGATCGGCAGGGCCACCTCTAACTTTCTGTCCTGTTTAGTTCTAGCAACTTTGCCTGGCCTGGAAGGGATCTCCTCAACAGCAATAATGCCCTGAGCTTGTGCAGACTAGAGGGCAGAGGATTGATTTTGTTGAGAAAGACTGATCTATTGGTATGGGTTCTTGGAATATGTGTTAAGGGATTCTGAGATACCAATATTGATTAGTGGGAAAGTGCTGGCATCAGCTAGTAATGTCTGCCTTGGGCACAGGAGAGGGAAGTGGTAGTATCTGTGCCACATCTTTGCCTTTTCTATTATAATACTCTGTGCTTTCCAAAACATTTTCACATGTGTTATTTCTTGTTTGTTTCCTACCCTATCCCCATCGCCATCCCAGCAAATCCTGGGAGATTTTACTGCTCCATTTGGTGCAAAAGTAAACTGTGGTCCCAAAAGATTTATGCCTTACACATCAAATCAGTGATGAAGCTGAGGCTGAAGTCTGGGTCTCCTGCTTCCCAGGCCAGTACTCCTTCCTGTTCATTTAATTGAGTGCCCTTGTCAGCCAGGGCCTGGCTTGAAGTTGTCTACAGGGTGCTGGGAGAGGAACCTATCTGCAGAGCTCACAGCCCCACACCCCACTTGAGTGAGAATTCTCCTGTCTCTGCTTTGCCTGAGCTAGCTGGGGCCTTCAGAGGGTCCAGAAGACCCTGGTGCTTATGTGGTAGCCTCCTTCCATATCAGTTCCTGCTACCCCATTTTCTGCCTGGCAACCCTAAAGGCCACACACACCACTTGCATGCAGCAAGAGAGGCTTGTAAGAACCAGAAGAGGATGGGGAAGGGAGAAGCTCTCAGCTGACTGTTGGGCACAGCCCCAGGGTCTCAGAGAAACTGAGTTAGTGGCATTCACAGCATTTGAGCAGCTGCAGGATATCCCTCATGAAGCAGGGCTAAGGGCAGGGCTTGGAGTTACTCATCCTGGTCCAGAGAAGGCTGGTCTGATTGGTATGCAACACAGGGAAGGGGCCAGGCTGAGGTTTCCTGAGCTGGAGCTGGGGGAGCAGGCTTCACAAGCAGCAGCAAGGTTCAACTTTAATAAACAGACGAGCCCTTTGCCCTAAAGACATGAAGTCAGCTGCCAACAGCAATGTCCCCAGATAGCTCACAGACTATCATGAGGCTGGTGTTGGTGACTCTTGTACCAGAAGTGGGTAATGGGAGATTTTCTGTCCTGCTGACAGGTGACTTCTGCAGCCCACCTCACCCCCCAAAACCTGAGAACCTAGGGTTTGTTACCTGGGATTGTTTAACCTGTTTGCTGTGATTCATGCGGCATGGAGTCTGCTATTGAGCCACCCTCTCTCCTCAACCCCCGCCAAGATGCCTTTGAGGCTGGGGCTTTAGCTCCTGACCTCTGAGTTCCCTTCCATCCTTCCTCTCTGG